CGCGAGCGAGTGTCCCCGACGCGCAGTGACAGTGTCGGCTTGGCGGTGGTGGCATCGCAAGGATCGGGCGAGGTGTGCCAAGGGTGCCATGACGTCATCGCCGACCGGTTCCTCCTGCGGGTCAACTCGAGGTCGTGGCACCAGACTTGCCTGCGGTGCTGCGTGTGCCAGCTGGCCCTCGACCGGCAGCCGTCGTGCTTCATCCGGGAACACAATGTCTACTGCAAGTCCGACTACACGAGGTGAGTTTTCGTTTTCATTACGGTTTATTTGTTGTGGTAAGGTTTATCATCCAGGAAAAATATTTCTTATTGTAAAACGTCGTTTATAGTAGTCAAGTTTATCAATGGAAACAGCGATTTCATTGATTATTAGCAGGAATGCGATGCAGTGCGTTGTGACAGTGGCAGTATATATATATATATATATATATTATATATATATATATATATATATATATATATATATATATATATATATATATATATATATATATGTATGTATATGTATATGTATATATGTATATGTATATATGTATATATATATATATATATATATATATATATATATATATATATATATATGTATATGTATATATGTATACATATACATATATATATATATATATATATATATATATATATATATATATATATATATGTATGTATATGTATATGTATATATGTATATGTATATATGTATATATATATATATATATATATATATATATATATATATATATATGTATATGTATATATGTATACATATATATATATATATATATATATATATATATATATATATATATATATATGTATATGTATGTATGTATATATACATACATACAAATACATGTAGATAGATAGATAGATAGATAGATAGGAAGGTATGTGTAAATTCATGATACATTTATGCATAAATGAATGATTAGATGGGATGTGTGCGATAGATAAATGTTTTGATACATGGAAATAATATATATATGTATGTGTGTGTGTGTGTGTGTGTGTGTGTGTGTGTGTGCGTGTGCGTGCGTGTGTGTGTGTAGATAGATAGACAGGTAAATAAATAGATAGGTAGAAATATATATGTATATGACATATGTATATAAATATAAATGAAAACCGTATTTTCTCCGATCGTTTTCGACGCTGTGCCCCTCACCCAACCCCACCCCCCTGTACACTATGGCCCCCTCCCCCTCCCTCCCCCCCTCCCGATGGGCGAGGCAGTCTTTCGGGATCCATCTTCATTTCCTCCCGACGTCTAATAGACTGTAATGCGTCGAATCATTAGCTAAAATTTCCCGACGGGGCGATGCGTGCTCGGGGGAATGGCCGGGTCGCGTAGGTACGGGGGGCGTTGGGGGGGGGGGGGGGGGGTCAACCGACAGGGGCGATAGGAGGGGGAGGGAGGGGGTTTGGCGAAATTCGTGTCAGTTATGGTATGTGTGTGTGTTTGTGTGTGTGTGTGTGTGTGTGTGTGTGTATGTGTGTGTGTGCGCGCGCATGTATGTATTCATGTGAACCTTTTTTTTTAGACCAGAGTTGAAGCCAAAGAAAGAAATCTATATCACCTATATCCATCATAGCAGCTCTTCTTTCGTCTAATTAGAATCCTTTTTTTAATTCCGTGTCATTAACGTGTAATATCCTTTGTTAGCGGGGAGTATTCATGAAATAACAAGAGAGCAGCGTTACCACTCACGGCGCAGCGCAACGTGGTAATATATCAACGCATTTTCCCGTCGAGAAGTGACGCTGAACAGCTTTCGATACGTTTTTTAAGATTAAAAACTGTTGAGAATTATGAATGTGGGAATGAATAAATGAGTGAAATGTAAATGGGTAAAATAGAAGATAAAGTGCGCGTTTTTTTCTTTTCTTTTCTTTTCTTTTCTTTTTTTTAAGACGGTGATAATAACTTTTGGTAATCGCGTCGGTATCCGCATATAGTTTTCGATAAAGGAGAAAATTAAACACTTCTAGACTAGCTGTACGTGCGGTACTTAAGAAGAGATAATGGTGCCTTACCTTCCCTCCCAAACTCACTTCGGATTGCCTCTGTATCAAGGGACAAAATGATTAATGTTATCGTGGGGTTCGTCTCACCGCGGAGCATCGATTGTCGTTTGGTTACTTTTTTATCATTATTATTATGCATTTAATCGATTATGCGTTCTTGCTTTCGGTTTCTAGAGAGATAAGAATATATGTAAAGTTTGTTTTTGTATTCATGATATTATAACAAACAAACATATCGATCTAAGAATGTTTTTTTTTTAAGATCTTTGTTCCCCGACGTAACGATGATGAAACTCATTTCGGGAAAAAAAAGAAGAAATACAGGAAGAAAGGAAGGGAGGTGAGAAGTGAAGCCCGCAGAACAATTGCCACCTTTCTCTTGTCAAAACGAGAATGCACCAGACAGTTTAAATAATGATGGTGCGATTATATCTCTCCTTCCCTTATCAAATCTATCGCAAGCCACCTCTGGCAACTCAACCGTAGACTAGGTTGCCAACGATCATTAAAGAGACTAAATATATATACTGTATATGTATTTAGAGCTTTTTGACGAGCATGACTGTACTTTATTTCTCTCTAAATGTTATCTATATTCTTTTATTTGATACATCATAAGATATCAGATCTATGTAGAACAACACAATATAGACATCCGTTGTCGCTTTGAAATCACATTTATTTTTTATTCATTTATTTGTTTATTTTTTAGCGTTAAATGAACGCCATGATAACGTTTAAAATTTTTAAATAAAATTTCCTCATCATTATTGGGAGTTATTTCACCTGTGAATATATATATACATATATATATATACACACATTAATATATATTTTACAGGTGACATATATTCAATGTTAGTAAATTGTGTCGTTAGCGTTATGCATTTACGATGAATTCTTGTACATAAAATTATTATGAATTAATAGATTGGGATATTTAAATGATGATGTGAAATGTTAAATAGTGAAACTTTACTGGTAGATGTTAAAAAAAATTATAAACTCTAATAGAACAAAATAACTGATATGATTTAGGATAACATGCAGCATTGTAATATATATATATTTTTGTTGTTGTTACCTACCACTGTAGTTTTATTTGTTGTCATTCATAATATTTTTTATCATCCACGTTGTTATTGCTATTATTGTTGTTATTAGTGTTATTATTATTATTATCATTATTAATATTATTATTATCCTCATCATTATTATTATAATATTATATTATTATCATCATCATCAATATCAATATTATTATTATTATTACTATTACTATTATTATTGGTACTATAATAATACAGTTGTTGTTGTTATTATTATTATGATTATTATTATTATTATTATTATTATCATCATTACTACTACTTCTATTACTACTATTAATATTATTTTTCGTTATTATTATTATTAATAACAGTAGTAGTAGTAGTAGTACCAGCATTAGCATTATTGATATTGGTATTATTATTACAGTTGTTGTTGTTTATGATTATTATTCACAATTGTTATTACTATGATTATTATTATTATTATTACTACTATTACCACTACTGTTGTTATTTTTATTATCATTATTGTTATTATTATTATCATTATTATTATTATTATTATTATTATTATCATTATTATTATATTATTACTATTAATATTAATATTATTACTGCTATTATTACTATTGATATGATTTTGTTATTATTATTGTTATTATTATTATTACTATTACTATTATTATTATTGTTATTATTAGTGTTATTATTATCATTATTATGATTATTATTATTATTATTATTATTATTATTATTATTATTATCATTAGCATTAGCATCATTGATATTAGCATTATTATTACAGTTGTTGTTGTTCTTATGATTATTATTCACAGTTGTTACTACTATGATTTCGAATGCAAATATTAGTGGTGCCTTAATGATTTTTTTCATCTTTTTTGTTATTAGCTTTCTGTATCGCTCATACGGTAGTGATTATGGCCTTTTTTATGTTTATTTATTTATTTTTTTTTTTTTTTACGTAATTTTATAAAAGTAAAAAAAATAGGTTCACATGTAGTTAGATATCAAAGAGTTCAATTTAATTATATTTCCTGTATAGTAAATGAACGCCTAAAAATACAATTTAGAAAAAAAAGAAAACAATATAATATAATCATTTAAAAGATATTTTCAGAATTCATTAAAATTGATCCACTTACGGAAACTCGCGTAATAGACGAATAAATCCATCAATTGGGATTTGAGGATTTTGATCAACGGACGTATGTGTATGTACATGAATATTCGTGCTAAAAATATACGGATAAATGGATGAACAAACACACTCGCGCACATGTGAACCCCGCTCAGTCAACATGTAAACAAACATGGCGGAGGATCCATGGGAGAGAGATGTGAAATTTCCTCTTTTCCTCTTTCGCCCCGGGGAAGCTCTCTTGTTGATTTTTGCAATTTATGCAATGGGGAAGATGTGACAGATGCGAGATGGAGGAAGCAGATGTGGGTTTTTTTTATCTCTTTATCTCTTTCTTTCCTTTATTCTGGGTTTCTTTGTTTATTTTTTTTTCTTCTTCTGAAAGTTGGTGGAGAGGCGGTCAGCACAGGTGTTAATGAACGAGGTATGGCAGGTGCGTTCGCTTCCGTTTGGAGGCTCTGGAGTGAAGTGTGGGTTTTACTGGAGTGTTAAGTGATTTTTCTCCCTTGTTTTTTTCTTCCTCTCTCTCTCTCTCTTTCTGTCTGTCTCTCTCTCTCTCTCTCTCTCTCTCTCTCTCTCTCTCTCTCTCTCTCTCTCTCTCTCTCTCTCTCTCTCTCTCTCTCTCTCTCTCTCTCTCTCTCTTTCTCTCTCTCTCTCACTTTATCAGTGTGATATATAATGATATGATGAATTTAAAATGCTCATTTGTCATTTGCATCAAGAAATAAACTATACAAGTAAAACAGATGGAACGAAAATAAATTTATTAGAAAATTAAAGTGAGATTAGATTTCAATATTTAAGTTAGTGAAGAGATATATAACGCGATTCAACTTTATCATAATATTTACATTATTTTACTGAAATACAGCTGTGAATGGTCATTTTATTATAATCATTAAAATTGTACCATACTTTTCCACTTCTTACAGTCATATTTGTTGTATATCAGTAATGTTGACTGAAGTACAGAGAACTCCTGATTATGAAAAAAAAGTTTACTACTA